TTTCCAACCAATCAGATTGCACAATTTCCAACCGATTAGGTTTCTGTAATTTACCATTCCCAAATCTCATCTTCTGTTCTGATGGCCTCAATCGCAACCTCAACTCAATTACTACACTATTTTTTTGGAATCTGTGGTCGGATCGGACCTGACCCTGTTTTCTTCCTAAGCGACCGTCCAATGTTTCCTAAGCGTCGATCTATATCACTCCATTATCACCCACTTACAGTGAAGAAGACAACGAACTATTCCGAACACAACCACTGCAAGATGAAAACGAACTATAGTGAAAAAGGACGAAGAAAACGAACTCTCGTGAAGAAGAAAATGAACTCTTGTGGAGAAAACGAACTTTGGTGAAGAAAGCGGCCAACAACTATTCCGAACACAACCACTATGTTGCTTGCAATTATTAATGTTATGGTTTAGGGTAGAACTGGTATTTTGCAAATAGCTTAGATGATCTATAAGGACAAAAATGTAATTTTCTGATTCATTAACGGAGGGGAGGTTTTTGTCGATTATCAGAAACCTCAAGGGGGGATTTTATATTTTATCCTAAATATAATATAAATATATATTTATATATAATATAGAAAATATGTGACATATATTCGATTAACCACTGGTTTTTTTGTAGGTTAATCGAAAACTCAACCGATTTTTCAAAAATTTTAAATCAAAACTGGACTGATCGTTTGGTTAACCGCATTTTACGATTTAGTTTTCTCGATTTTTCAATTTTCATGAACACCCCTAGGTCCCTGTAAAAATCTGTTCGGAAGAATTCTTTATTGACGAGCTGCTGCCACACCTTTGTTTTCTGCAATTTGAATCAGTTTCAATTTTCCCTAATTTTATTGTTTAGTAGTTTTCTCCGTTTGCAATCTGCAAAAGTTTTCTTGTATCCGGCAATCTATTTTCTTAATTTGGATAATGCAAACGGGGTTTGAATGAAAATGGAATCCAATCAGGCAAAACGTTACTATTAGCAGAGTCTATCAACTTCATCATCGGATGGCCATCAGCTTCAGCAGCTACCGATCTTGCGGTCTGTGATAAAGAGTCCCTTGTACTTTATTTTGCGATAAAAACCCCTTTGTTAAAAAGACAATTATAATATTTTTTAATTCCCATATCTGGATGAAAAAATCACTGTTCATCTACCCCGACCTTCTGATGCTATCCTTCCGTTCCTTCATATAATGACGACGAAGCTTTTTAGCCTTATGTCTCTTTCTATTCCTCCTCATTTGGACCTAAACAATTGATATATGAGAGATATGTCGAAAGCGAGGATGGACATCAAATAACAGATAACCCATATCAGAATTAAAACCCAATTCATACTCAGAAGCCAAATATGGGCAAATGAAAAAATATTTTAACAAGTAGACAACGCACATAACGAAAGAAAAAACCAATCCCGAATCTAGAATCGTAAAATTAAATCAGAAAAAACCCTAAAAGAAGGCAAAATAATGGAAGACAGAGAGAAAGAGAGCAATAGAAGACCTCGGAGGAAGGCTTAACGTGCTTCTTCTTGTGAGATGACGAAGATTTTCTTTTGGAGGAGGAATTACCAGCAGCCATTGGCTTTAGTTCAACCTGCAACAAACAAAATAAAGAGAAGCAAAAAAGGAAAAAAATAATTAAAAGACAAACAGAAAGCGTTAAAGGGAACAGATAGATTGAAAGAATCGAACGTAAAATTGAAGAATTATCCAATCCCTGTTTCGGTGGTACAGGCTATAGCAAGCCTTAGGTCTTCAGAGGAGCGCTCGATCTCTCGCTGCCGGCCCACAGCGGGTTCTGTGAACGCATTGTACAGGGAGTTTTTGACAGTGCGATGACTTGTTGTCAAACGAGGACTTGCAGATTCGTTCTATGGAGGAATCGTTCTCAAGCGAGGACTTGCAGAAGCTGCAACTGATTTCTGGGATGAAAGCGCGCTCGGATGGGAATTAAAACTCGGCTTAGGGATAATATCCGTAGGCTAAGCTTTGTAAGAGCTTGAAGTTGGGCGATCTTCTCGGTAATACGGGCAGTTGTTGGGCTATCAAGCATTGCAATTTCTCGTGATCGTGGCGTCGGCGACGGCTATAGAGATGAGATTGAAGACGGAAAACAAAATAAAGGGAAGAAAAAGAAAACAGATACAGAGACAATGTTTCTTCAAACAAAATAGCCATGACCAAAAAGTAAACCTATTTGGTTTCCAATACAGCAGAACCATAAATTACAAAATCAGAGATAGTATGAAAGGGTACAAAGTACAAACCATGCTGTCTTCCATCTCTTTCGGCCCGGCCGAGCTTGAATCCAGTCTCGCCCTTTGCATAGCTTTGTAGGCTTGATTTTTTTCCCATTTTGGAAGAAACCTAGATAAGATGAAGCGTAGAAAAGCAAAGAAGGTTCACCGTCAGTTAGCCATGTCCATGGTTGCTTTAGTTTAGTTTCAGTTTCATGGAAGAAGATAATGAATAATGTAAGTATGAGTACTGCAGTGATACATTTTGAAATTTGGGTACTAACTTGACACTACCCCCAAAGTTTAAGGTACTAAACTGAAAATTTTCCTATAAAATGATCTGTTATCATCAATTTAAGCTCAATATGCAAATTTTGCATATTTGGTTGTTTGGAAACCATGCAAATAGATTGTAAATGCAAATGTAGTGAATTCTGGTCCATACAAATGCAAAGTTGAGTTAATTTTACATTGACAAATTTTCATTTTTACCAATTGACTTACTTTTTGTTGTAATGGATGCAAACACAAATCCCGATATAAAAATACATATTTTTTGACATTAATTACTTTGAATGCAAATTTACTTTTTTTTTCGACCTAAAATTATCTCTCATTTTAGGTGTAAACATGCCTTATAAATTGTGTTTTTTGTCGTTGTCAATACACAAATTTTTTCTTGCCAAATGCTAGCAAAATTGAACCAGAGTACATATTTGCACTGAACCAGCGCTTACACCCTATTTGCACCATTTCTAAAGGCAGCCTTAAGATTTAAGAGTGCACCGTTTCCAAAGGCAGCCTTAAGATTTAAAAGTATCCATACTTTGAGCCTTATTTGACTGTAACTCACTTTGCCATCTAGTGGAATTGGTATGTGCAAGTGCAAAAGCAGAAAAGCTTTTGAGAGCTATCATCCCCTACCTATCCTCAAACATATGGAAATAAGGTTCAAAATATCGATATGGCTCGATACACTGGTAGGGACATATTGGACTGCACCGGGGCTCGCTCCCCTATTTTATTTATTCATCTTTTTGAACCTGATCCAGAGGGGTGGGTTTAAGGCTTGTCTACCCCCTGAACCAGGTTAAGCCCCAATGCGATACATATCTTCCGATACGGCCCAATATGCATCAAAGTTTTGAACCTTGCATGAAAACACGAATGACTGAAACCACCATCAATTATAATGGACGTATCCCAGTTACAACCTACAAAACATGTCTTCCATATGCTCTAATCGTCCAAGCACACCAAGGTTTTTAAAACTGAACCGGACAATGAACCATTTAGGGGTCTGATTCTTGGGTCGAATGGTCTGACCGTTCAAACTGAACGGACAGCCTGTTCTGACAAAAAAATAAAAAATTAAAAATGACTAAAAACCATTCCACGGTTTGAACGATTTGCTGACCAAATCAACAATTTTTGGCCAAAATGATGGTTCTGGATAAAACAGAACTGGTCAACTTTCCAGTTTTTCTGATCCGACCGTCCGGCCGGTTCCGGTTTTGAAAATCATGCACACTATGGGCCATAAAAATTCTCTTATTTGAGATCGAGACCGAGAGTTAACCATTTATCGAAGATCAATGTCGTTGGAGTTTTCCCACCCGCGCAGTCATATGCAAGGTTTAAAGTATTGATGGATATGGCATGGCGTCGTATATGGTATCGGTATCAAAAGTCACCAATATTCGAAATCCTGAGAGTTGGAGGGTTTTGAAATGTCTCAGATATTAGGAATCATCCCTACTAGCCTATCTGCCAATTATTGGGCTGAAAAGGTAAGAAGAAAAATCAAGTATTCATTGTTCCAAATACACAATATACATGATGTTTTTTATACCTTGGTCATATCTTGACTGGTTGGTGGAGGAAAGACTAATCAATTGGTGAAGGAGAGAAAGATCCAAGGTAGGCTGCCTGCCCAAGGCAACGTTTACTCTTATTTTTCTTTTTCTTTCTCAGTCAATGGCTGCAATTTGCACTCTCTTCTCTAATATCCTAAGGTTAGAATTAACTCAACCACTTGAACTGTAGGACCTGGACAGTCAAACCTCTGACCCAGAAACTGATTGCCAAATCAGTTCCATTTCCAGGTCAGTTTTTAAAACGTTGGTTAAAACCAATGTTTCTCAGCATGATTCATCATACTCGGACCGAACTAACAACTAGAATGCTCCATGGGGTGCTGTTTTTTTGCGATTTAACTGGGCGGTTGGCCTGTTAGTGTTCAATTCATTAAAAAATCATTTAACCAAGACCCAGAAAGGCCACTGGTTCCCGGTTTTCATAGTCCGATCATCCGGTCCATGGTCCATCCGAGTCTTACAACGCTGCTTACAAGTCTAAGATGAACCGGGGAAAAGCCAAATATGGATTGCGGTAGTGAGATGTATGAATAACATATTGAAAGAGTAAACAGAGTGGTATACGGTATAATATACCCAACCCCATGGCAACAAACACATGCAAACAGACGCTAAAAGCTACGATATTATTGGAAGATCTTAATCTGTTTAATGCTCAACAGAAAAAACTCGCGTACATGGACAAATACCACAAATGATATCCTCCAAATGCTCAGAACCTAGAGAAAACAAAGTACAAGTGCATAATAACTCCTTTTTTATCTGCCTTAACTTGCTTGGCTGCCACAGAAGCTTATTAACTTGAGGAATCATTCTTGTTACCTGGCGTCTCCCTAATTCCACTGCAACAAAAGAAGTGTGGCAACTTAACTCGACCACAGCTCCTGTAAGACAAAATGCAGAGTAAGAAAACCTAGTTCCAGTTGAAATATTTCAGAGCTAAAGCATATCCGGATGGTCAGGTTGAAGTACATGCTCCGCAAGACAAAATAAGCATGTATTATGTGTAAGCTGCCAAACAGAGCTCTAAAGAGACGGTGAATGTCTCGAAACCTAAGGAACCAGACTTATCTGTGTAACATGTAGGCTTAATAGAGCTCCAAAAGCCTAACCTTTCTTCCATTTTTCAAATAAATAAATTGAAGTTTCTAAAGCATTATGCTACAACATATAATATATTGTTTGGTCATGCCTTTTGGAGGTACTATTTTTGTGGCGTACAATGTTTTAAAAATGAACCCAAACATCTATATGGAAAGCTTGTCAGGTGGCAGGTTTACAGTTCAATTGGCCAGTTTTCCCAGCAAAAGAATCAAAATCAGGGACCCTTAGCTGTTGGTTCACCATTTTGACTGCCCTGATCAACAGGTTGACAACACTGTTAACATACAGAGATGCTTGCATATGCAGGTCCTAGGTACAATATTATGGGTTGAATACTAGGCAGGTCCTCAAAAAGCAGCAAAAGCAATAGTGAGTTCTCTAGGGTTGACACCCAATCAGCGGCAGCAGCCTGAGTTGAGGAGAGTAGTTTTTTATTATTTTCCAGGTACACTTAGGATTGACAATAAAGAGATAACTCAATGTGACCTTTTTTGGTGCCTTGGTTCAAAGTTCAATAACTCATAACAGGAGATGGATTGAAGAGGATGCTGCCCATAGAATTAAAGCAGGATGGGGAAAATGGAAGGGTGTGTTTGGAGTTTTATGTTGATAGGTGAATACTACTTAGATAAGAGGAAAATTCCATAAAACAGTTGTAAGGCCAACTATGTCGTATGAAGTACAGTGTTGGGAAGTCAAGAAGATGTCTAGAAAATGAGTGGCAGGAGATGGATGAATGAGTGGAAAAACTAGAAAGGATAGGATCAGATGAAACCATTTTTAGGAACTTAGGAGTAGCTTGAATAGGTGATAAAATGAGAGAAAATAGACTACGGTGATTTGGTCATGTGCATAGAAAACCATCAACAGCACTTATAAGAAGAAGTGATTTGTTACAAGTTGAAGGGGCTAAAAGGGCAAGGGGTAAACCAAAGAGGACCTGGGTAGAAGTACTAAGAAATGATTTGAGCACCAATAATTTAAAAATAGTATGGCATTAAATAGAATGGACTAGCAAAATAGGATTCATGTACCCGACCCCATATAGTTGGGATTAAGCTTGGATGATAATGATGGTGATGGTTATGACTTGATTATTTTTCCAGGAAGGGGTTAGTGCAGGGGGATTTGATTAGATTGAGGTTACCACATTACATTTTTTCACATTCATGGCAGTATCCATCAAGAAGTCACAGAAATTGGTCTATTAAACATTGAAGAGACATCACATATACATAATGCATAGTCCTGTATCCACAATTTGCAAAGTCAATCATATGTCACATAAAGTTTACTCTGTCATACTTACAAACCAATCAAAATTCAAACTGATTTACTGAGAAAAACATAATGCTATGTAAAGGAACTTGCAGATAAACATAAGTATGTCATATTTCATCATAACATTTTAAGTTATAATAATTTTACTTCATTCTATAGGCTTTACAACAAAATACTGTGATAGTCAAAAAAGTAAATTGCCCTTACTTGCAGCGAATTATTACTGGAACAGGTTTCAAAGCCTTTGGTCCATTTCTTATGCCTTTCTTATGAGGAGACACCTGCATGTTTGACAAATCCCTGGCTGTCACCTTCAGGCTTCAAAATTTTTTATTGTAAATCCAAAATTTTTAGATCCCAACAACAAACACCATATAAGAAAAAGAAATGTTCAGGCTTGTACATAAAAGTAATGGGAACAAAATTTACTAATCCTTGCCTAGTAAATTGTAGGTTAATGAATTTCCACCACAGGTATCTATTCTACTAATAATAACTAAATCCAATTTCCTGCTCGCCAGCTGAAGATACAAACTTTTGCAACTTTTTTTTTTTTTCTTTTGTACAGAAATTGGTCAACTAAAGCCTTTTTTATCAATCCTTAGGCAAGAAAATTATATAGGGTAGCTTGTATAACAGTGTAAATTACTTGAATAAATATAAAAATCATGACAAACAACAGCATTCATACTGTTCATTTAGAACAAAGAAACACCAAGCCTAGATCTCCCTCAAAGTCTTAGTCATTTCTCTCTCTAGTATTTCACCTATTTAGGCATTTTTTTATCAATAACAGAGATTTCATTAATTGATTAAGAGTTTAAAAAAACCAACTGGAGCTAAAGTAACTTAACTCCCTACAAATGCCACTAAAGCCAAAATACAGAAAAAATTACAGTCGAGCCCAAAAAACAGAGCTCCTATTCACCCCTTGTCTAGCTAATCCATCTGCAAAGGAGTTTGCACTTCTTTTTATCCAAGTGCATCGAACTTCCATATCTTTTGTCAGCCGGTTGTATTTCCTCTTTGCATTGCTGTAGCTCCATAGTCTTGAATTTTCTTTTTTTAACCAATTCACTACAGTTTTTTTTATCAGCAACAATGAAATTTTATTAATGATAAAAACAAGATTTTTTTTTTGATCAATAACATCAATTTCATTAAATTAAGAGAATAGAGGGAAAGGAATACAAAGGGAGATAAAATAACTTAGCTCCCCAAAAAC